TCGTCTTGGGAGCCCGCCGTCCTGCCACGTTTGACGTCGCCCCCCCCTCCCGCGGCCCTTTGCCTTTGCCCTTGTTGGGGGCGTCGGTGGCCGCGGCCCTCTCGCGGGCGAGAACACGCTCTCTGTTCCACCAAACTTCGAGCTTTAGTCCTTCATTCATCGCAATGGCGTTGCACTTAAGTCAAACCCACTCGCGAAGGAAACGGGAGCACGACTCGGGCTGCTGAAGTGAGGGGTCGGCACAGACCCTGTCTGGGTTCGGAAGGCACGCGGCCGCCCACTGGTGCCAGAGGGCGTTAAAATAAGGGCCCATGTCCTTCTGTAGTCTCTCCACGGTATCTGCGGGGGCTTCCCCGACGCGTGGTTGGAGAGAAACTCTGTCGAGGGGTGTCCGGTAGATGTACTGGCGGGTCACGGTGTCGCGGTGGTTGCGCCCATCATCCCGGCGGCGCCTGGACGGACGGTGTTCCGGTTGGTCCTCGAGCTGCGCGGTTGCATAGGAGGGCCGGGGTGCCTCCTGCGAGGCACGCGACTGGTCGGACCTGTTCCAGCGCCCGTCGGTTTCCCAGCTGCCCCGCCCCGGCCAGCGCGCCCAGCGGTTGCCGCGCGGGCTACTGCGGCCACTCTCACTGCGCCAACGCGGGCGGCGCTCGCGCCACTCATCATTTCAGCTCCGTCAGTTTCTCGCGCCAGTGGGCGGGCGGGCCCTAAGTGCGCCAGGGGAACGCGGGGCGCTCTGTCCCGGCGGGCGCGCGAAGTCCCCGTCGTCCGCGGCGGCGGAAACGGGGTCCGAACGGGGATCGGCAGGTGAGGTTGGAGCGCAGGCCCTGTCTTCCTGCACGGGGCTGGCTGAGGAGTGAACGACCACAGCAGGATCAGTGCTCGGTGATGGGGAGAGCTCAACCTGGGCGCCTTCATGGCCCTTGGGCGCCGTGGGTGGGGGGCACGAAGGAGCTGCGTCGGCTACCCCCGGCCCGTCGACGCGGCGAGCAGTGGCCCCGTCACCCCTCACTGCGGGAGGGGCATCCGCGCGGGCAGCTGCCCAGGCATGAGGCCCGTGCCTCGGGCTGGCTTCTTGCGAAGGTTCGTGGTCTGGAGACGTGGCAGCCCGGGGGTGGCAGGGCGGGCAAGTGGGACTGCGTGGGGACAGGGTGGGGGATGGGCCCGCCCCCCCGTTCCAGTCTAGATCAGGTGTGCGAGTTTGTCTGGGCTAACCTGCGCCAGGAACTCGGCAAGCGTTTCAACGGCGCGCTGTAAGGGGGAGGGGCCGCGCGGGGGCCGTTTGTCGGAGTGGAGGAGCCACCTGCCCATCTCGCTGGCGTCCAGGGATAGCACGCAGAGTCTGGCGGCCGCTCGTGCGGCGGATAGCCGCTTACCCTGCCAGTGGATGGTCTTGGGGAGGTGAGATGATGGGACCCGTGCACCATAGATCAGCTTCAGGAATGTCCGTAGCTGGGGCGGTAACCAGTTCCCAGGCTCATCCGGGCGACCACGTCTTTTCCATATGCGCTTGAAAACCCGCCAATGGTCGTCAAGGAGCGGATGCAAGTCCCGCATGACTTCGATTATACGCGAAGTGGGGATACGCGAAGCTTCAAAAGCATTTACATCCTGAGAAACCCATGTGGATTGGACCATCTCGAGGCTACTCGTCCTCGAGCCCCTGGAACCTCATTCTTCTGTTCCATGCGGACGGCGCCTCCATGGAAGGTCGGGCGTCCCAGGGCCACGCCACTCGAGTGTAAGCCGCATGTTCGCAAGGAGCCGCCGTCCATCCTTCGAGCCGGCAGCCCCGAGACGGCTCCGGGTGACCAGAGATCCCCTCAAAGGATGCCCCCGAGAAGCCAGAAGTGTTTCAAATGCAATGGCTTCCAAATGATGTTGGTCTTCTCGCCGCTTCGCTTTCGACTGTTCGGGCCCCAGAAAAGGCTCCTAGATTGCCAGAGAGAGCCCAAGACGGATCAATTAAAGCTTTGAGGCAGCCCCAGGAGCACCCGGGAGAGCCCTAAGAAGGCTCTGGAAGGCAAATGTTCGGGCTCCGAAGGCGGGGTGCATCGGAGGCGAGGGGGTGATCTCGCAGTGAGACGGAAGAGCCCCCCAACGGGAAATCGGTTTCGGTTTCGTTTTCGTGCCGTGCGTGCGGGCGAGGCGAAGCTGCGTGGGCGGGTGAGACGAATTAGGAGAACGACAACACAAAAACATAAAAACTCGAAGGTCCTCGCGGATCTCTTGGATCCGCGCTGGGCACCCCCTCCCTGGCGCGCGGAGCGCGCCAGGGGCGGTGCCGGAGACGCCGCCAGGGGGCCCCAGCGCCGATCCGAGAAATCCGTGCGGACCTCCGAGTATTTATGTTTACGTCATGGTCCGTTCCCCTAGGAATGAACCCTTACTTGCTGGGGCGCCGCCGTGCCAAAAGACCGCCCCCCTGGGTTGTCTGGCGGTGGCCGGGGGTGTCCCGCCGTGGTGTCCCAACGGTGTCCCGTAGTGTCCCGCCGCGGTGTCCCGCGGTGTCCCGTCGCGGTGTCCCGCCGTGTCCCGTGGTTCCCAGCGAGGTTGATAGTGAGATCGATAGTGAGATCGATGGTGAGCTCCATAGTAAGATCGATAGTGAGATCGACAGTGAGATCGATAGTGAGATTGACAGTGAGATCGATAGTGAGATCCATGGTGAAATCGATAGTGAGATCGATAGTGAGCTTCATAGTGAGGTCGATACTGAGATCGATAGTGAGATCGATAGTGAGATCACAGAGAGATCGATAGTGAGGTCGATAGTGAAATCTATAGTGGGCTCCATAGCGAGATCGAACGAATGAGATCGATTGTGAGATCGATAGTAAGATCGATTGAGTGAGACGTTGGTTCTTCCCCCCCGAACCTCCTTATCACCCGGAGGGTGGTCGTATAGGTACGTGTTTAGTCTATCATGTGAGAGAGAAAAGGCAAATAGAGGGAGAGAAAGAGAGAGAGAGCGCGAAACATTGGATCAATATGAGATCGTTGAATTGAATGTTGCTTTTCACGGGCATCCTTGGGAGACTTGGGGACAAAAATGGCCCAACATGCCTAAAGATGGCCTCCAAGATGACACAAAATTGCCCAAATCGGTTCAACACGGCGTCTGACATGCCTCCAAGCGGACCCAGGACCGCCCGAAGAGTGCTCCAGGCGGCCGCAGAGCCTCCCAAGGAGACCCCTGGGAGCAGAAGGAGAAGGAAGGGGGGGGATGGGCGAGGGGGAGGAACAAAGACGGTAGAGGGAGAGCAACACGGAGGGGAGGTTCGCGCCGGGTCGACGCGGCGACGGCACCAGTCTGGTCGGGTGTGTCCTCCTACAGGCAGATTTTGGACGAACGCAAGAAAAAAACACAAACAAGGCTCAAACAGATTTAAAAATACATCTTAAAAAGATGGCCCCCTGACTATTTCTGTGACTAGTTTTGAGTATTCCTCCTGTAGAGGGACGCGCCCGACTTAAGAGTAGCACGGACGGGGAGGTTGGAGCCAGGTCGACGCGGCGGCGACACCAGAGCGGGCGCTCCAAGGTTGAAGGCCGTCGGCGGCCGGAGCCAGGCCAAAACATTGAACGATCTCCGCTGTCGGACAGCAGAGGTCGCTCAAGGTTGAACGATCTGCGCGGTGCCAGAGACCAATGTCCAAGTCTAGGTCGGGCCATGTCCTCCTACAGGGGTATCTTGAACGAGGAATAAAACTGTCAAGGAATTCAAAACAAAGAAAACTACAAAATCGTCCCCGGACTACTTGTGACTATTTTTGAATGTTCCTCCTGTAGAGGGACACGCCCGACTTAAACCAATGTCCAGGTTGTTCAGGAAGGGGAGTACTAGCGGAACGGATCGGGGAGGCGCAAGACTCGGGTTCGGGGGACACAGGGCCATCATGAAAATGACGAGACGCAGACTGAAATTTGACGCGAGCTCACGCTGAAGACAAACCACGAAAACGGTATGATTAGGTCGGGCATGTCCTCCTACAGGGGAGTTTTGGACGAAAAACGAAAAATCAAAAAATATTAATGTGTTGTTTATATGAGAAAAACAAAAAACAACCAAACAAAAAAAATCGAAAATCGTTCCCAGACGATGTGTTGACTACTCTTGAAGATCCCTCCTGTAGAGGGACAGGCCCGACTGAACGGTATGGGCGCTCTGGGCGAAGCGCAGCCGCAGGAGAGCACTCCCAGAGCCTGGAGACGCTCCAGGAGCCCCCCGGAGACGTCCGCCAAAAAACTTTACAGGGAGGGGAGCACCAAGGGCTCCCAACTTCGCGCTTCACGCTGCGCGAAGCGCGAAGTGCGAATAACTTCGCGCTCTCGCGCCGCCTCCCAGGGGAGAAGAGCAGGATGAGAAGGAATCGGAGACGAACTGGGAGAGAAGGAGTGCGAGGCGGGGAGTTGTCCACATCTACCGCCTGGGGACCGACGTCCTGGTGCCCCAGCGGGCGGTGGATCTGGACATCTTTTGGCCCATGAGGACCAGAATTTATCCACATCCACCGCCTGTGGAGGTTCGCGAGGATCGATCCCCCAGGCGATGATTATGGATAAATCCCAGCCTCGAGAGGAGCAGGAGCGGGGGCTGCAGACGGGAGCAGGGAGCAGCAAGATGTAGCCAGGATTAGGTCGGGCGTGTCCTCCTCCAGGCGGTTTTTGGACGAACAGAAAAAAAACATTCCAAACGTACCCAAAAATATTCAAAAAATTAATCAGAAAATCGTCCCCAGAGTATTTTTGTTACTATTCTTGAATACTCCTCCTGTAGAGGGACAAACCCGACGTAAAGCCAGGACGAGGACAAAACCGGGCACGGACAAATCGAGAATCATCTCTGGGATCCGGCGGCTCTGGAGGATGTCTCGGGCGCCGCGGCCTTCTCCGAGAGTTCCCAAACGCTCTGAGAGCGTTCCGGGACGCCCTGGAACGATGCATCCTCGTCCTAGCCCCATCCGACAGGAGACGCCCGCGGGACTGCCGAGCGGTGCCTCGTCGACCTCGACCTCCTCACCATCTGTGCCTTCACATCCACCTGGGGGTACGGTCGGCCCGCCCAGAAGTAGCTGTGCAAGACAACAGCGGCAGGAGGAGGACAGACGTGGATCAAGACGAATCGGAGCTTCGACAGCCAGCGGGTCTGAAGGACGTCTCGGGCGCCGCGGCCAGTCGGGCGCGTTCTGGAACACTCTCAGAGCGTTCCGGGACGCTCTGGAGGGATCTATCCTCATCCTACGCTGGCCTGACGATATCCATGGAGGTCTCCGAGAAGGGGGCCAGAGCAAATTGAATCGGAAGATCGCACCGCATCGCCGATGCACAGCCGACGCACCGGCGACGTTGGAACTGAGAAAACTGAACTCCAGATCGCGCCGCATCGGCGATGCAGCGCGATCCTCCAACCCCATCTACTCATGGCCCATGTACGGGGCCAATATTAGGGGTGTGCATCGGAAACTAGCAGGTAACCCTTCATATCGGCACCAAGATGGCGCGATACCAATCATGGGGATAAGAAAACGTTTTGGAGGCTGGTTAACGTTGCGGGCCCTCCAGAGGCTACACGACAGCCTGCGTCAGAGTTTGGGAACGTTTGCGTGCGCTTGCCGTTAGAATAACGAAACTGCACGTACACATTCACCCACACACACACACATACACCCAAAACCGTGCAAATCTCTTGGGTCGGTGCTGGACCTCCTCCCTACACCACTCCCCTGGAGCGCGGAGCGCAAAGGGGCGGCGAGGGGGTCCTGGTGCCGACCAAAGGAATCTGCGCGGACCTGCCAAGAAGCCAACCTCCATCAGAAGTTCAAATGGCTCTTCAATGACTTTGGCCTCGTCGCCTATTCGCTTCAGGGGGCTTTCGAGACCTGAGGATGACTCCAGGATCGTCGGACCGAACTACCCCCCCAAACCTGCATGTGAATGCGGGCTCCTCTCAAAATCTGAAGGATGTGAACCGAACATGCCCGTTACACCACAGAGCGCCAGGGGGGAGTTGTACTATCCGATGCGCTGGCGCGAAAGGGAACACGACGACGATCCTGGATGGTCCAAGAGAACCCCAGGAGTGGGGCCACGCGGCGCCGACAGAAGGCCCCGAGAGCGCCCAAGGGCGCCCCAGGAGCGCTCAAAAAGAGGGAACCCGAGAGGCGATCCGCCGGGCTCTTGACGGGAGGGAGACACCAAGGCCGCGCTGACGGCGTGCTTGGTTAACGGCGCGGTTGGGAATATCGTGTTTGTGGCACCGAGCTCGCGCAAAACAACATGCAGGAACTCACGAAACACCGTCTCCTGCATTTCACAGAGATGCGAATGTATCGAACGAAAATGACACCGCGAGTTGTACGAAAACACAACTCGCGCGCTCCTACAAGTTGTTTGGCCACGAACCACGCCTTCCTACAATTGGCTTTCCTACTTCGCCACTAGCTAACACACCGTTAGCGCGTTTACGGAGAGAAGTTGCCGCCCCGCTGTAGGCAAGCAGCATCGCTGAAAACTAGATGGCTTGAGCGACGTTGGCTATTCACTGGCATTATGGCGTGGCTCAAGGACCAAGAGGGCTCTGAGATGGCCCAAGATGTGGCTTCCAACGTGCATCCAAGAGGCCCCAAGACCACCCAAGACGGCTCCAAGTGGCCAAAGAGCCTCTCAAACAAAAGTGATTCAATGACGTTGGTCTTCTCATCGTTTCGCTTCCAGTGGTCTTCTAAGGCTGCAGGATGGCTCCAAGACAGCTCCGCCCCCAAAGAGGACCACCACAACGGCGCCAAGGCGGCTCCAATAGCGCCGAAAAGCGCCCCAAGAACGCTCCAAGAGGGCCCCAACACGCCATTTGTCGGGCTCCGACGGGGAGGGCCTTAATTGAGTCCGCTGTCTTGCTCGATGTCGTCCAAGATGGACCAAAGAGGACCAAATGGGGCCCCGAGAGAGCCCTGAAGACCAACCAAATAGCCCAGAGCCCCAAGATGGTCCAAATAAGCTGCCAAAAGGCTCCCGTATCGAAACGTCCGTGAAGGCATGTATGGTTCACTCCTGGATCTGCTCAGGCTGACCCTGCGCTTCGGTTCAAAGGCCGCCCCCATTTTGATCCACTGCTGGCTCCCACGCATCCCTGATCAAGGCAACTCGCCTGGGCATCGTTTTGGGATAGGCTGGTGGGGATACGCGAGGCGTCAACAGTTCAAAGTCTATACCGCCTGATCGTCGATCGGAACAGTCTGGGCTTACACTTCGTGCCAAGGGGGGGCCTGCTGGGCTCTTCCTGGGACCCCTGTCTGCTGCCTCCCCTGTGTTCCTTCCCGCCTGCCGGCCCGCCTTCGTCGCGCCGGCCCCGGCCTCCCGCCTGCGCGTTCGTCGCTGTCTGCCTGGCGCTAGGTCGGCCATGCCCTCCTACAGGGGGATTTTGGGCGTAAAAGAAACAACTGTCGGCAAATCATCAAAAATAGTCAAGGATAGAAAAAATCGTCCCCTGGCGATTCCTTAAAACTATTTCTGGGACAAGCCCGACTTAAGCCTGGCTCCCAGTTCCCCTGCGTTGAGCGTTTCTTAATGTTAGGCGATGACGGGCGTGATGGGGGGGGGCGAGGGGGATATGACGTAACGCCCCCCCCGCCGTGTGGCTCCGGCACCGCAGCCGCGCCCGCGCGCGCGACGCGACAAGCGACGAGCGACGAGCGACGAGGACGACGACGACGACGACGCGAGCAGCATGTAGGTGGCGACATGCCCCGCTGCGCCTGTGTACACTACAACGCTCGCGTGCACCACAGCGCGCATGTATACCACAGCGCCTGCGTACACCGCAACAACCGTGTGCAACGCAGCGCCTGTGTACACCACAGTGTTTGCGTACACTACAGCGCCGATGTACATGTGTACACCGCAGCTACCATATGCAACACAGCGCCTGTGTACACCACAGCGCTCGCGTGCACCGCAGCGCCTGAACACGCCACAACGCGTGTCCACACCACACCATCCGCGTGCAACGCAATGCTGGTGTACACCACAATGCCTGCGTGCATAGGACAGGTAAAAAGAGCATGTACGTAAGGATCTGCTGCGGACAACTAGACGCCACGCCAGGAAAATGCTGATAATCGAGTGCGACGTTCTTCCCTCTTCCCACCTCCTCCACCTCCACCACCACCACCACCTCCTCCTCCTCCTCGTTCTCCTCCTCCCCCTCCTCCTCCTCCTCCTCCTCCTCCTCCTCCTCCTCCTCCTCCTCCTCCTCCTCCTCCTCCTCCTCCTCCTCCTCTTTACCCCCTGTCGTGCGGGTTGGCGTTACAGCGCACGTGCGCATCTCAGCGTGCACCGCATAATGGTCTATTGAATCGGTCCACTTGGTTCTCGGACGGCCAACTTAGCTGGAGCCTCCTGGACACTGATGGGAGGAATTCGGGCGATGCGGGCGGACTCGGGAGGACTCGTGAATTCCAGCGGCGCTCCGTTGTCCATAGGGATTATGTTACATTGTTTTCTGTGGAATCCACAAGCGGTAAATTCTGTCATAAGGAATCGTTCTCACATTCTCTACGCAAGAATGGTGCTGTGTTGCACACGGTTGCTGTGGTGCACACAGGCGCCGTGGTGCACAGAGGCATTGCAATGCACGCAGGCATTGTGGTGTACACTGGTGCTGTGTTGCACACGGCTGATGTGGTGTACGCAAGCGCTGTGGTGTGCACAAGAGCTGTTGTGCCCGCAGGCACGGTGGCACAAACTGACGCTGTGTTGCACACGGCTGCTGTGGTGTACATAGGCGGCGTGGTGTACACAGGCGCTGTGGTGCACGCAAGCACTGTAGCGTACACAGGCATTGTGGTGCAAATCGCCACCTACATGCTGGCGCGACCCGTCCTCCGTCATTCCTAAGCATTCCCAGACGCCGCCGGCGCGAAACGTGACGTCATCGACCCCTTCCACCACCCCCATAAATGACTGCCGTCATCGGCCTGGAATTTTTTTTACTAAAAAAAAAAAAAAAACTTCAGCCGCGTCCGCGCGCACGACGACTATGAGCGACGAGCGACAAGCCACGAGCGACGACGACGACGACGACGACGACTGCGGACCAGACTCCAATGGGGATTCCTACGCGGACACCTACGCGGATCCCAATGCGCACGGCGGCAGTGCCCAGAGCGCACTAGGGGGTGAAGCGTTACGTCAGGGGAGCGGGGGCCATGACGCCCGTCATGCCCAAAGCAATAAAGAAACGGGCTCGCCCCTCGCCGTCGCCGAGCAGCACAGACTGGCGGGCGCGCTCTGCTTCACGAGCGGCCCGATGCGCCGGTGAGGCGTCGCGAGAAGCCTCTCGCCTCGCTGCTTCTGCACCCCTTGGACCCGAGCGGCAGGGTCAGTCGGCATCGAAATCGGGAAGCCGGGTCGAACAAGCATGTGCGTCGGGTCGGGCCGCATCGGAACGGAGTCAGACCCGAATGGCATCGGCCGCGCCAGGATGCACAGGAGCGCCCGCGCGAGCATCGGGCCGCATCGTATCTCTGGAATTTCAGAACCAGAGCGGATGGGGCCAGCCAGAATCGATACCGAATCGGATCGACACGATCGACATGAACGCTGGTTGGCTGCTCATTCTGGGAACCTTCCTGGAGCCACTCGCATCACTCGTGCGTCGAAGCTGCGTCGAACGTCCGTCGACTTGAGTCGACCCTGAGTCGATCCCGAGTGGAACCTGAGTCGAACCTGAGTCGAAGCTGAGTCGAACCTAAGTCGAACTCAAGTCGAACTTGAGTCGAACTGGGGGCGAACTGAAGTCGAAGACATCCATTATGCATGCCCCAGGAAGGTCCCGCAAACGAGCATCTAACCCTGGGGTGGACGGACGGATCGGGCCAGCCAGAATCAGGAGGAGGAGGAAGATGAGGAGGAAGATGAGGAAGAGGAGGAGGAGGAGGAGGAGGAGGGGAAGGAGGAGGAGGAGGAGGAGGACGAGGAGGAGGAGGGGGAAGATGAGGAGGAGGAGGTGAAGGAGGAATCGAAATGGACCCTGGGGTGGACCACGGACCTCGAGCTCCTCCAGCTGAAAGACCTGCAGCCGCGGCAGGCACGCGGCGCTCGAGCCGTCATTCCACCGCAGCTGCTGCCTCTCGGGGCGGCCAGACTCCTCCTCCTCCTCCTCCTCCTCCTCCTCCTCCTCCTCCTCATCTCATCATCATCATCATCATCATCATCACATCATCATCATCATCATCATCATCATCATCACCACCATCATCATCATCATCATCTCATCATCATCATCATCATCATCATCATCATCATCATCATCATCAGCATCAGCATCATCATCATCATCATCACCACCACCACCATCATCATCATCATCATCATCAGCAGCAGCATCATCATCATCATCAGCATCAGCATCATCATCATCATCATCATCATCATCATCATCATCATCATCATCATCTCCAGTACCACCCCAGGCCACCCAAGATTTCTGTGTGGCGGGCGTCCCAGGCGATTCCACCGAAGGGCGCGGCAACGAGCGAGCGACACAGACAGACAGGAGGAGGAGGGAGACCAGGGACCAAAGCACCAACACACCACCGAGGAGGAGAGAAGAGGAGAGAAAAGGGAGAGGAGGGCGGGCCAGAAAAAGAGACTAGAGCAGTCGCGGTTGCGGAACGACGGCAACCTGAGAGCACGCGCCACCGCGACGGCCTTCGGTTCACGAGAAATGAAACGTGCCAACACAGCCATCTCCAGTACCACCCCAGGCCACCCAAGATTTCTGTGTGGCGGGCGTCCCAAGCGATTCCACCGAAGGGCCCGGCAACGAGCGAGCGACACAGACAGACAGGAGGAGGAGGAGGAGGGAGACCAGGGACCAAAGCACCAACACACCACCGAGGAGGAGACCCGAGCCCGAGAGGAAAAGTGGCGGCGAACACGACGCCGAGAGAAACATTAACAAGTTAGAGTCAATTAAACTTGCTGGAAGTAGAACAGGCCAGGGAAACCAAACGTACAAACCCTTGGAAACCAGACATCCTCGCGATATAATCGGCGAAAAATGTACAACACTTCAAAGGGCACGCTTCGGCGAGGCGGGTCCAGAGGAGCCCTGAAATGGGGTCGAGGCCAGAGAGGATGATGTGGCGCTTCCCCGAAAAAGAGCAGAAACCTTTCCTGCAGCTACACCGAGTCACCACGGCGGTCTCAGGACGATGGCGGGCCCAGCAGGCCACTCTCGTGTACTTTCGCCAGCGGGCGCCGAACGAGCACACGTCAAGGTCGTGGACCGCCACATCGGGAGCCTCAAGTAGCCGCTGGATACCTGGAGTCCGCCACATCCAGGAGATCCCAGGATTCTCCAGCAGAACGGGCACCTCCCGAGCGCGGCACACTGAGATGATGCCCAAGACGAACCTCAGCTGGTGGTTGCCCAGCTCCACGGCCGCGCGAGGCCTGCCCGTAAGACCCGGGAGGCCCCAGACGTGCTCACGAGACCGTATCGAGCACCAAGAGGACCCAGGCGGCCCGTGACGGGCCTGGCTCCACGAACTGCACGGCAGGGCAATCTAGACGGCAGCGCAGACGCCCGCGCGAATCCACCCTCTGAGCGTCTGACGGACGACAGGCAGGTCGAGATCGAACCACGGTTTTGATGCGAAGTCCATCGGCAGCGCGGCGATGTTCTTGCGCCGCAGCGCCGCCGAGAGACGGCCTGCACCAGCGAACAGCTCTAAGACGGCCGTGCGATGGGGAGCCCTTCTGACGCTTGAATATGTGGTGAAGCTCTCGGAGAAGGTGGCGGCGAATGGCTGCATTCGAAGGCTTCCCCTCGCAGTCGGCGGCGAGTTCTACTGCTCGCGCAAGGTTAGGCTGGGCGCGGGCACGGCGCGCCCCTCCAGGAAGATGTAGGCGAGGGCGGCGTCCATCGCCTGGCCGTAGGCGATGATCCGTGGGCCCAGCCGCTGCAGCTCCGCGACGATGCGGGCCTGCTTGGCGCACCGCTTGAAGTTGCGGTCGGACGTCCAGCCGCCCCGCCGGTGCACCTCGAGAGCCTGGCGCCTCTTGGAGAGGAGGCCGTCGGAAGCTCCTCCGTGGCGGAGCCCGCACGCTGGGACGGCGAAGTCGTTCAGGCCCAGCGAGCGCGCGGCATCCTTCATGCACATGCCCAGAGAGCCTGTCTTCCCCGGGCGGCCCAACTCGCCTGGATGCAGCAGCGCGGCGAGCCCCGAGCCCCCGGCGGCCGCCCCGACGGGGGGGGGCGATCTGCATCGCGGTGAGGAGGTCGGCTTCCGACGGGCGCAGGTAGCAGGCTAAGCTCATGATCATGGCAATGGCCTGCCCCAGCTGCCCGCGCTGCATCATCGCCCCCGCCGGCGCCGCCACCCACGGCCACGGCAGCGGCATGCGCATCCGCCGCGGGACGCACTTGCCCGCCTCAACGCCCGATCGGCGGTAGGAAGAACTTCAGCGCGGCAAGGAGGCGAGAAGCATCGTCCCCGCTACGGCCCTGAAAGTAGAGGAAGTCGAAGTACATCACCACGATCGAGTCGAGCAGCTGCCACTCGCTCCAGCCCAGGTGGAGCTCGCGACACCATTGGATGAACGCCGAGGCGCGCCTCTGGTAGTCGGCGAGCGTGGCCTTGCCGACGGGCCGCTGCTCGAGGTACGTCAAACCCATCATCAGGGAGCCACGGAAGGCCTCGCGCCGACGGGCTGCCGCAGCCGCCGGCACCGGCGCCGCGAGGATGCCCGAGCCAGACTCCCGGGGGAACGACAGGATATCGACCGCTCGCCCCCTCGGCATCGGAGGCTTGGCCGCCCGCGGACGCTTCCCCGCCTGGGCCCGCATCAGGGAACAGACGAGCACCAAGCCCAGCAGCCACCTCGGACTCGATCGCCTGGATGTAGGGCAGCCCACGGGACGGCCCATCTGAGGGGTTGAGCTCGCTCGGAATCCATCGGGCGACGACGTGCAGATTGCACCCAAGCGAGAGCGCACAGATCCCACGGAGAACGCTCCGCTGCTGAGGAGAGGCACCTCGTCCATTTCCGATAGCCAGGGCGAGGGACATGTTGTCGACGAGGCAGACGATCCTGCAGCCGAAGGCCGAGGATGACCTGAGCTGATGGCGGAGCGCCGAGCCAAGGGCGAGGCCCTCCGCGCGGTAGATGTCGAAAGAATCCCGCCAGGCGAAAGAGTGCGTGACCGCCGAGGCATCGCCCACGAGCAAATTTGGGTCGACCTCGCCAATGGACTTGTCCCAGTTCTTGGCCTCGTCGGAGGGCAGCCGCCCAGGGCCCCGTAGCACTGCGGCCGCACCGGCAGTCCCAAGCGCGTGCTCGCGGGCCCGCGCTGACTCCTCGAAGAGGTACCTCCACCGCTCGGCCGCGCGGCCAATCTGGGCGGCGGCCTCGGGGTCGCAGCGGCGGCGGCGCACGCCGCAGCCCCAGCCTGAGGCGTCGCTGGCAGTGATCTCGTCGCGCCACGGGGAGTCGGTAAACACCGCGAAGAGCGGGAGCCAGGATCGGGCCTGCCAGAGCTCGCGGCGGACCGCGGGCCACAGGGGGAGCGGCTCGTCTCGCGCGGCCTGAATGAAGGCGTACACGCTGTCGAAGATGGCGAGCGAGCAGCGCTTGAGAAGCATGGCCCACGCGCAGTGCCCGACGACGATCTCGACGATGGCACCGCGCACCCTGGGCCGCCGCAGGAGCTCCTCGATGGCATACCGCAGGCGCCAAACCCGCCTGGCCGACACCCGCACTGCGTGCTCCGTCCGTCAAGGTCGAGGCCGACGAAGCTCGCCTGGCGCGCGGCGTCGACCTGCTCGTGGACCACGAACCCGAGCGACGAGAGCTCCTGCTCGACCTTGCCCGCCGCGGCCTGCACCTTGGCCCGCTGACACCCTGCGACCGGGTAGATGTCGACGTAGGCTGCGCCTGCGGCAGGGCGTCGAGGTCCGAGACGGACGCCAAGGCTGCGGTCGCGGACCTGCTGCTCGGGCGCGATCCTCGCGCGAGCCAGCGACGCCTCGGAGACGCATTGGCAGAGGTGCAGGGCCCAGGACCAGCCCATCGGCAAGACGGCGAGCTCGGGAAGCAGCCAATCGGACGCGCGCAGCGGCACCCCATCAAGAAGAGAAACTCCAGCCAGCCCTGCCCGAACGGGGGGGGGCGAGAAATACTCGCAGAGGCCCTCCGGGACGCGCATCGCGTAGAAAGCGTTCGAGATGCCCCCGCTACTAAACCACGCGTCGCCGCTGCCCTGCGCCCCCACGCGCGCGAACGCGCCGCCGCTGGACAGCTCGGTGCAGGGGGGCGGCTTGATGCGAGCATTGCTGATGCGGGTGTCGAACACCCGCCGCTGCTGCCCCGACTTCTTGGCGATGACGAACACCCCCAGGAGGCCGCGGCGGCCGCGGGCGGGCGACAGGCGCAGCATCCCGCGGGCCAGCAGCTCGGCAATGAACTCGCCGTAGGTACAGGGATGCCGCAGCTTAGGACCGATGTAAGGTTGAGCGAGGCCGAGGTCGCGACGCGACGCAGCCGCCTCCGCAGGCGGGCGAAGCATGTGGGCCTTCCAGTCCTGCAGCCGCAAACGGTCAGCCTCCAAGAGCGCGGACTCCAGCGCCACGGGCGCGGAGCCGCCCGAAGGCCAGGACACGAGGTCCTTGCTGTAGGACACCACATCGCCGCGCCCCGCAGTGTAGAGCGGGCAACTGGAGCATATGTCAGAGAGCGACGAGGACGGAGAGACGTCAGCTGGCGGGCCGCCGAACTTGACATACTGGTCAGCGATGTAGTCGAGCGACTTCCGCTGCAAAATTGAAGGCAACTTGCGCACAGGCGGCGAGCCGCCACCAGCCAGCCAGTTGAGCGCGTCGATGCCGTCGTTGGCCCAGGCGAGCCGCGTCTGGCAGGGACCGCCTCTGCAAGCACGCGGGTGATCACCAGGAGACAGATGAGGAAGAGGAAAGACGTTTCGCTGACGACTGACCGCCATGGCGCGGGAACCACGACGGCAGGAGCGAGTGGCTGAAGGGGGCCCTCCGGGGGGGCCAAGGCCCCGGTGGCCGCAGCAGGTCTGCGAGGGGAAGGGGGCTAGCTCTTGGCCACCTTCGCGCCACCGCCGCTCTGGCCCGCCCCGCGGGCGCCAGCGGGCGGGTGGAGGAGCTGCCGCTCCTCGCGCGCCTGCGGCGCTCCTTCGCAATGGCAGACTGGGCGGCCAGCTGCTTGGCGATCCAGTCCGAGAGGGCGGGCGCGACCATGACCCCGCGCGTGGACTGCATCCCCGCGAAGAGGAACTGTTCGTCCCCCCCAGGCCCTGGAGAGCGCGAGCCGACGAGCTTTTCCCTGCACTGCTCCTCGCATAGCCGCAGCTGCCGCGCCACGAGCTCCAGGCGTGCAAGGTTGGAGCCGTCGATCTTGTCGTGCGACTGTGCCACCCGCATGATCTTGGAGTACTCGGAGCGCATACTGACGATGGGGTCGTCGGGGGGCACGCCAGCGCCCAGGCCGGCCTTCCAGGCAAGGTGATGGCCCAGAGGAGACCCCCCATTCTCCACCTGGTACGTCGCCACCCAGCGATAGGCGGTGGGCCCTGGGACGGGCCCGTCTGGGGAGGCCGTCGGCCGCAGGAGCTGCACGCTGTCCCGATACTCGCGATGCCGCTGGCCCTGGCGATCGTACGCCGTCGGCAGCGTGCGGAGGCCCCCCGCGCCCTCCCCCGGTGGGCCGCCCGGAGGCGCCGCCGCAGCAGCGGGAGCAGGAGCTGGTTCGTCAGGGGGAGGCCCAGCGACCAGGGCGGCCAAGCCCGCGAGCCCGCCGCCAGCCTCGGGCGCCGCGGCGGCGGGAGGCGCGGCGGGGGCACCGGCGGGGGCCGCAGCAGCGGCCGCGGCGCCCATGGCGGCGGGCGCGCCCGCGGCGATGCCGCCACCAAGGGGCCCAGGCCCTCCTCCAGCGGCGACGACGGCAGCGGGAGCACCGCCGACACCCCGAGCACCACCGCCCTGAGCACCGTCAGCAGCACCACGACGGCCATCGTGTTCCGCGAACCTCGCCGCCCCGACGACGCAGGCCTGCGCGAGCTGGGCCACAGTTGGTGCGACCGCGAAGTCGTACCTCCTGATGCCCGCGGGGCAAACGGCCCCGAGGGGGGGCAACAACAGCAGGCCACTCCTTCCCCCAGGTGCGCACGTCGGTGTTAGCGGCGTTGCACTCCTCGACGTACACGTCGAATTCGGGGGTGAGCACCGCGAAGTGCTCCACTGAGCGGGTGGGGCATCCCAGGACGATCCCCTTGTGGGCGAGCCGCGGTCCAGATTCGTCATACTCAACCCAGATCTCATCGCCCACCGTAATAATGAGAAGCGCCCTCGACCTCCAGCGCGCGGCGGCCGCCAGGCTGGCGAGTCGCCCGCCGCAGGGCCCTCGTCCGCCAGCACGGGCGGAAGGGCGGCGCAGCGCGCGCAGGCGCAGCGAGCCGCCGGGGCGCCGAGCGTTGCCGCCCCGCGTGCCAGCTCGGCAGCCAGCAGGAGCAGGCACCCGAGCACGGCCTCCCACCCCAGGGAGGGCCGCCCGCCGCCGTCCGCCTGGCAAGGGGGACAGGCGGGGCAGGGGCGAGGGGGCAGCCGCTGCCGCGGGCGTCCGCGGCGCCAGGGGCGGGGGCGGCGGCGCGGGGGCCGCGAACCACCACCAGCGCGCCAGGAGCAGCACGCCGAATTGACCTGCGAGCGGGAGGCCGAGCCCGAGGCCAGCGAAGCGCATCGGGTGGAGGGCCTCTCCCTCCAGAAAAAGAGACTAGAGCAGTCGCGGTTGCGGAACGACGGCAACCTGAGAGCACGCGCCACTGCGACGGCCTTCGGTTCACGAGAGATGAAACGTGCCAACACAGCCATCATCATCATCATCATCATCATCATCATCATCATCATCATCATCATCATCAGCAGCAGCAGCAGCAGCAGCAACAGCAGCATCCTCATCATCATCATCATCATCATCATCATCATCATCATCATCATCATCATCATCATCATCATCATCATCATCATCATCATCATCATCATCATCATCATCATCATCATCACATCATCATCATCATCATCATCATCATCATCACAATCATCATCACATCCATCATCATCATCATCATCATCATCATCATCATCATCATCATCAATCATCATCATCATCATCATCATCATCATCATCATCATCATCATCATCATCATCATCATCATCATCATCATCATCATCATCAATCATCATCATCCATCATCATCAGCATCATCAATCATCATCATCCCATCATCATCATCATCATCATCATCATCATCAATCATCATCATCATCATCATCATCATCATCATCATCATCATCATCATCATCATCATCATCATCATCATCATCATCATCATCATCATCATCATCATCATCATCGTCATCATCATCATCATCATCATCACCATCATCATCCTCATCCTCATCCTCATCCTCATCCTCATCATCACCCTCATCCTCATCCTCATCCTCATCATCATCATCATCATCATTATCATCATCATCATCATCATCATCATCATCATCATCAGCATCATCGTCATCATGAACATCATCAGCATCAACATCAGCATCAACATCATCAGCATCATCAGCATCAGCATCAGCATCAGCATCAGCATCATCATCATCACCATCATCATCAGCATCATCAGCATCACCATCACCATCACCATCATCATGATCATCAGCATCAGCATTAGCATCAGCATGATCATCAGCATCATCATTATCGTAATCATCATCACCAGTATCAGCATCGTCATCAACATCATCAGCAGCATCAGCATCAGCATCATCAGCAGCAGCATCATCCCATCATCATCACCACCAAGGCCATCACCATAATCCTCATCCGCATCAACATCATCACCATCATCAGCAGCATCATCATCAGTATCAGCATCAGCATCAGCATCAACATCAGCATCAGGCATCAGGCATCAGCATCAGCATCAGCATCAGCATCAGGTATTAGCATCTGCATCAGCATCGACATCATCAGCATCATCAGCATCAGCAGCATCATCAGCATCATCAGCATCATCAGCAGCATCACCAGCATCACCAGCATCACCAGCACCACCAGCATCATCATCATCAACATCAGCAGCATCATCATCATCAGCATCATCATCATCAGCATCATCATCGTCATCATCATCAGCATCATCATCATCAGCATCATCATCATCATCATCCTCATCATCATGATCATGATTCCATCCTTGTCATCCCTCCTCCCTTTTCCTCCCTCCTCCCTCCTCCTCTTCCCATCTTATCCTGGAAGCGCTCGGGCGTGGGAATGGGAGAGGGGGGGGCATGCTCTTCCGCTGGGTGGGCGTAAGAAGACGCCAATCGTCATGGCCACGCCCATCCTGCGCACAGGATCCTCCGCCTTCCGGGAAGGCCCTTTACCTCTCGCTTCTCCCCCTCGCTCGCCACAGAGCGGTATTACGTCTGGCCACGGGGGACCAGAGAGGAGACGAGGGCATGGCTGGACGTCGGGCGTGGGTGATTTGTTCACAGCGTGGCTCCCCAGAGGTCTGGTCTGGCCCACTTCCCGGAAACATACAGTGGAGGTCAGTCCAGAAGAAACCTTCCACAAGAAACCCAACCCTGAGACCCCAGGGAGTCGACTGATTTTGGTGCTGGCAAGTCACGCCTCCCAAAGAAAAACCATTGAAACCCCAGAAACCCAGGGCACCCTGGAGGCAAGCAGGGTGTTTCTTGGCATGGGCCTCCACTGTGTATGTGCCATCCTGGCCGAGCCAGGAGGCATGACACTGGGCACCGGATTGGCCTGCCCAGGATCGGCGTCGGGGTGTGTGGTCGGCGCCCTCCGACGAGGGGCCAGGGCAAGACACGGCCGCAGCCTGGGGACGATGAGCTGGTCCCAGTTCCTCAGCATCCGGCGGAACCAGAGGACGAAGCACGACGAGCCGTGCGTGCCGTACTTCCTGGAGGAAGGAAGGCGGAGAAGGAGGAGGAGGGGGAAGAGGGGGAGGAGGAGGAGGGGGAGGAGGAGGAGGAGTAGGAGGAGGAGGAGGAGAAGGAGGAGGAGGGGGAGCAGGAAGAGGCGGAGGAGCAGTAGGAGGACGAGGAGGAGCAGGAAGAGGAGCAGGAGAAGGAGCAGGAGAAGCAGGAGCAGGAGGAGGAGGAGTTGGAGGAGGAGGAGGAGGAGGAGGAGGAGGAGGAGGAGGAGTGCGGAGCTGGAGAGCTTCCACACGCCTCTGGACACCACTTCTTTGGAGGGGCATCGGTGGGGGTGCGGGAGGCTCCGCCTCTGGCGCAGCGGCGGTGGTGGCCGGCACCTCCGGCGGGGCGCGCCTGCCACTCTTCTGGGAGCCTCCCGGCCTCTCCAGGGGGTCAGCCTCCCCCTCGTCCAACCCGAAGCTCGTCCTTCTCCTCCACCTCCCCGTCCTCCTCCTCCAACCCGAAGCTCGTCCTCCTCCTCCTTCTCCTCCGCCACCTCCTCCTCCTCCTCTTCCTCCTCATCCTCCTCCGGGATCGGTAAAACTGCAGCTGGGCTCGGCAGCTTGGGGGGGGAGGGGGGGGGGCACGACCCATTTTGTAGCCAATGTAACCTGCGAATCCGAACTTCGAGCTGAGTCGGGATGAGCCCCAGGAGAGTCTCCAAACCTTCTGCACTGGTCGAGAGATGCACTTCAAAGAGAGCTTCAGAGAGAAAGCCGACCCCACTCGGGAAGAAACCCTTCAACCGAATCAAAGTCATTAGGAACCATAATAAAGGCTTCGAGCCCACTGAGCCCGACAGACTGAACCCTGGCCTGGAACAAAATAAGTTGAAGACGCCAAAACATATGTCCTACATACCAGGGAGCCCCCTGGAACACCGCGCAGCTCATGTTTGTTGGATAGCATGCCTTTGTTGCGCCGTCGCCCTTGCGCCCTGAAAATGAGCCCCCAAGTACTTTGTTGGTGTCGATGTAATCGGAATCGAACCAGATCTACCGAATCGAAATGGACTCTCGAAGGTGAACATCATAAACATAAAACGATTAGCACCCATCTTCCCTGCCTCCAATATGTTTGGTGGAGGCCAGTGGATCAGTCTGAGCGTTTTGAGGCCTGCTCCCGTGGAACCATCGGAAACGCAGCGGCCCCAGGACCAACGCCATTCCGTCGGCAGACGAACTCCTCCCAAAAAGTCCCACAGGATTTCACGAATCCTCTTCGAAGACCACCGCACGTCAGGAATCTTCTCCTCAAACTCCCTCTGTTCGTGCCGAAACTTACGGCGCCTGTGGGTTGGAGGAGAAGCGTGCAAAACCCTTCGGCTGATAAGCTCCAAGGAGGAGGGCGTTCTTGCGGAGCTGCGCATTGAGCACAGCCGAACAAATGCCACGCAGATCACCGTCACTTTCATCCTCAAAACCTTGTCCATAGAACTGTCAGAACTTATGCCTAGTGCATCTCTACATTCTGGAAAAAGTCGAGAACGACTGGAGTAGCGCGCCGGCATCCATTGGGACCGCCTGGGGCTAGACACTCGGCCCACATCTGGCACGTCGGGCGGTTTAGAAAAGCCCCGTTGCCAGACCCAACCGTTGTGCAAGCAACACGGCGGCAAAGACGGCGCACAAGAGCCAATGAGTCGATCTGCCCTGCTAAGCTCTCGATACGGACATTTCGCTTCTCATATCATTCGTGTTTGATATAGCAGGCTGTCCTGGCGCTCTCGACCCGATGGCCCGTGACTGTATCTATGGGATAGTATCCGAGATACGTCGTTGAGGCTATCCATAGTTTGTCAATTCTTGGCCACCTCTTGCTCGATGAACTGGTGAGCGGTTTTTTAATTCGGCGTTTCGACATTGGGCGGAAAAGGAGGGGAGGGAGAGGGTCTGACTGCGGACATCTGCTTTGTGCGACTGTTTGCAGCAGTGCGCCCAATGAGAGAGGGACTCCACCTGCCTGAAACAGGCGCCAACAAAACAGCGAAGATCCACTCCAGGGGGGGGAAGGGGGAGGGGGGGGTGCGAGGGCCCGCGCCGATCGGCCAAACGCTCACAAGTGGATGGCAAAACGCTCGGCAAAACAATGAATAAAAAACGTACACCAAGTGGATGGCTCTGTTTCAGCATTCTCGCGACGTGCTCTCGCGAGCCTCCCGTCGCGCTGCGGCCAGATCTAGGCCTCCTCGCCGTGGGCGAGCGCTCTTTGCCGTCGCGACTTCGGCAGCTTCACGCCTCTGCACGGCGACGAGATGACACGCGGGAGGAATCAAGGGGGAAAAAACATGCAGACCAGACAATTGTCGTGTACTAAACGGCCCAGGGCGTTTACCAAACAACCCCACCCTGTTTGATTCCTTCTGTGGGTGCGTTTACTAAACGGCTTCGCGTGCCGGGGTGGATGTTCTGCCCTCTAAGGAAGCAGAGGAGTCGAGGAGAGGCGATGTGCTTCGTAGCCTGCCTGCGATTTCTCCTTGGTCGTTGCGCCGTCGGAGACGGCGCACAGGCCAGCGACCTTGGCATGGCGGCCTCTCGCGACTCCGGCATGATGTGGAGGAGCAGGAAACGGGGTCGACGGAGGCCCTGGGAGTTGAGATACACGCCGTGCTTGGCCAGGTTGTCGTTATCTCTCGCGCTCTGGCTCCACCATCTCCCACTGTCCTATCTCGTCTCGTCCGAGCTCCAACACCTGTGATCGCCCGTGTCGTGGCGCGGCCCGTTCCGGGAGGCCTGTCGTAACTGCGTGGCCCGTTCCAGGATACGTTCGTCCTGACGGCGCGCTCCGTGCCAGGACACAAGCTTGCGCTCTTCAACTTTGGCCGCAGCGCCTATCGTGAGCGCTGTGGACGTGAGCCTCTCACTGCCTAATCTGTCGCCCAGCTCAGCGGAGCTCGGCGCCCTCCGCTGAACACTGGAGTGCTTTTAGCAATGGACCTCGTTAGCGCGCGGCGCACGGTCCCTCGCTCGCTCTCCTGCATCTGCGGGTTGTTGGATGAGATCAGAGGGCTGGAGAGACTGTTGGAGGTGGATGCGGTGCTAATTGAGGAGTCCTCGTGAGGGTGGCTGAAGTGGCAGCCGAGCGCCACCCCGTGCGTGCCTCCTCCAGCAGCCTCGCCCTTTCCGTGCTCTCCATCATGAGTTTCACACATGCCGTGTTATCTTGCGCTTCCCATTATTCTCTTCGGCTTGTGCTGTTGCATTCATTGCATTCCTTGCTTTCCCGCGGTAACCCGTGGGTGCCTTCTGCAGCCGCTGCGAGAAAAAGGAGGAGCAGGGGGAGAAGGAGGAGGAGGAGGAGGCGGAGGCGGAGGAGGCGCGAGGCAGCGCGACTTCCTGGAGCGGCGGCGCATGCGCAGGAGGTCGCCGTGAGTCAGGCGGTGGCAGGCGAGCGCGGAGAGAAGGGAGAAGTCGTGAGTGAGCGAGTCCGCCGATCCACGACGCCGTGAATGCTTCGATCCTGGGCCGCCCTGCCTTCACGCAGCGCACCCGCCATGTCTTCCCGTCCCTGCGGGTGACCCCGGTCGACCCCGCGCAGCTGTTCTGCTCTCTTCTGCACTCCTCCTCCTCCTCCTCCTCCTTCTCCTCGTCGTCCTCCTCCTCATACTTCCTCCTCCTCCTCCTCCTCCTCCTCCTCCTCTTCCTCCTCCCCCTCCTCCCCCTCCTCCCCCTCCTTCCCCT